CGCTCCGTGAATGTGATATGATGGTGATGGGTATGCAGGCCGTTGCAGCGCCAAGACGGGTTATTCTTGACGTGGAACGACGGATGTACGGAATTAGAAGATAAATAAATACATAGAATCAGCGGTAGACGAATTTGATACCTTGATACGCAATGGCTTTGTGGTGAGAGTGATGTCTGGCGTTGTGAGGGGTCTGTCAATTGATCTCAATCGTGAAGCATCGTCTTAATTCATCTCACTCTAAAACTTGACATCTCATCCTAGCGATCATTTGTTACATGGATAGCACAATTTATGAACTTGAAAAGTCGTAGATTCTCATTCTACGCGGTGTCTCAAATGAATGAAGCAGATAAAGCTCCTCCAACACCATATACCACGTGCGATATCTCAGTCCCCCCAGGACAAACCGCAGCATTATAAAAATAAATGAAGGGATATAAAAATAATAGTATCAAATCAATCCAGGGATATGCCAAATTCCCCGACCGTAAAAAAACGCCAGTCATTATGCTTTGTACAAATTTCTTTTCGTATCGGTTATCTCGTCTCATCAATCACGCAAACAGGGCATATGCACCGGCTGCCACGAGCGGTAGCCAGCCTGCGAGGTTCAGCTGGCGCAGTGTTTGTGTCGCGCCGGATTCGCTAACGTAGGCGTCGGAGCCGGATGCTTTGGTCGTGATGGTGTAGATCTCTGCGAAGCCGATGTCGGTGGAGTTGAAGCAGTTTGTCTCGTTAACTTCGGCGATTCGTTTGTCTCCTGGTTCAGCAAAGATGATGTCGACGCACTACAGATGTTAGTCTTTCTTCCCTGCAAACTTCGGAGGTGAATGAACGTACAGAGTACAGAGCTGCACCGTGAACAGCTAGTTCTACAACTTGGATTGTAGCCTTGTCGCCTGCCTTTACAGTCGTGTTCTTGGGCAGAGGCACCTGAGGAAGACAGATTGTTCCTGGGAAGGGATTGTTGGTGGGACCGAGGATCTGGAACATAGGGACGACGGGCTGTGTCATGTTTGCAGGGCCGCCGTCAGGACCTTCGTCGCCAAAGCCCATGTTCACGTAGGCGAAGGCTGTCTCGTGGCCACGGAACCAGCCGGGCTGGAAAGCGACAGCGCCGCCTCTTGTGGGCCAGTATGTTCTGTTTGTCGTGACATTGTGACCGCCGCCTGACGATGTTAATTGGTGTTGATATGGTCAAGAGGAGAGGAGGACGTACATGGGTAGATCCATTGCATGCCGTAGGGAAATGTTGCGTTGGTGATGAGGTTGTTTCCTCGCCAGCCGGGATAGGTAATCACGCTGTGTGCTGACACGATAGTCGCGAGGAGGACCGAGATGAATGCTGACGTCCTCATGATTGCGGTGTATATCTCGTAGTATTGTGGTGATACTCTAGCAAACAGACAAAGAACAAGAACAAGGCTCAGCCTCGAACATTTAAATTTTCACGAACCAACGATTTTATGAGAAACTTCTTCGGAGAAAAAGGAAGAGGGAGAGGAGGCCGCAAGTTCTGGTCTTAAGGCAACGCACTCAGCACTCCGCTCGGTGGCCATCTTTTGCAGCCGCCCAGGACCAAGTACAGATGTGATGGCCCAGTAAGAGGCCGTTGACGATGCATCTTGGAGGGTGTGACCCCTGCTGCAGAACGGGAACACACGCCCAATGGGATCAGCGGGATGAGTGATTTACAGGGCTACAGGGCGTTTCTGGGCTGTGACTGGAGATGTTTTAAGCGCTGGCGCTAGACTTATCTGAGGCACCAACCAATAGAATACAAAAGTGAATGGGGTAGAGGGGCGGGGGTTGGTGATGGGATATGCCGGTTAATGAGGAGGAAAAAAGGGACGGGCAGAGGTCGACTCACTTGATGAGAAGATCGGATCAGGAGAGCCGATGAACGATTCGTAGCCGCGTTTTGATCTGATGATACTCTTTGACATTCAGTAAAAAAGGTTGAGGCTCGGGGTGAGAATGCCGCGTAGACGCCAAGATCCATGCCATGGTCACATCCATCCTCGCCAGACACACACGAAGCACAGACGCAGACACTACCGTAAGCTGATGCTCTTATCACTACGACCCCTGATTGGCTATTCTCTGTACTCTGTGCTATCGTTGCATTTTCGGCGAGAGACTTGTGCTTGTTGGACCTCAAATCATGCATGTGCCTTGCCTTGCCTTACGGGATGTCTTCCTTCAATCTGTGACATGGCAAGCGACAGCAAATGACGATAATAACTAATCTCTCACAGAAAAATAGCAATCATGTCGGTCGCTGAGTTATATAAGGGGAGTTAAGAGACAGAACCAGTCGGAGTTTTATTCCCCATCGTTTTTTTAAGCATTGAAACTCAAAACGCCACTAAGATCTCAAAACTCACCTTGTTCTTCACCGAACTTCACCGAGCCCTGTGGAGTCTCGAAATCTCAATCTTCACGACATTCTTCATTGAGAGACTCACTATAAGTGACCATCTCACCATTATTCCCCATCTTTTACGCAAGCGCTTTAATTCATTCCATCATCTCACTTCATTTTTCTTTTAATCCTTTATTTTATTTTTTTACTTTGAGTTTGCATTCAAAGATTTACCTTCACAATGTCTTCATCACAGGATTCTTCAGACTGGACAAGAGTCGTGCGCAAGGGCCGCAAGAACAGACGATCCAACACCGTATCTCACTCCTCCAGACACGTCAAGCCCCAGACAGAAGGTTTGAGAACGCCCGAGGATCTGGAGAGCGATTACAAGCAGCATCGCAAGCGATGGGAGGACGAAGCCTACTCCTGTCCCCGTCTCCGTGAACTTGTCAAAGCGAAAGCGTCGCATTTGACAGAGATTGACAAAGCTGTTCATCTCGGTGTCGGGACATTTGATCCGAATGACGGGCTCAATCTCGATGGCAAGAGATCCACGTTTGCGCAACTTGCGGCTTTTGAGATCATGGTTGAAGAACTAGGTACATCTACTACCTTGATGGCTTTTTAGTGAACGGTGCTGATTTGAGCAGAGAAAATCACGGGTGGCAAGATTGAGACGTTCTTCCAAGACCCAGCTTTCAGCGCCTCCGACAAACAGTTTCTTGAGAATATCGGTCATACTGTTCTTGAGGATCCGAAGGGTACGCAGATGGTTGATGCGAAGACCCTCTTCTTCGGCGTTCATCTCTACAGACCTGTCTACAACGATGCGCTGGAGGTTGAACTCCCCGCGCTGTTTGTCGGAACCAGCTATGAAGATTGGGGAGAGTAAGTCATGCCCTGAAGCTGAGATAGAGTGATGCTAATTGGGAACAGCATCTTTGCAGACGAACACATCGAGAACGTGGAGAGAATGCACAAGTTATATGAACGCTGTGCTTTTCCCCAGGAGAGACTGGACTGTGCGTTCTCTACGACGAGTATCTACTGGAAGCCTAAGCCTGAGGAGGGTGATGTTAAGGGTAAAGGGAAGGGGATTGTGATTGAGGAGGTTGAGATTGAGGATGGGGATGAGAAGAATGGGAGTGAGGGGGAGGAGGAGCAGGAGTTGGTGAAGAAGCTTGAGGCTACTACTATTAATTAATTGTTGCTGGTAATTGTTAATTGACGAGTGTTTGTTCATGTCTGGCCATGGTCTGCATCTTGGGCTTTAGTTGCTAGTGACTGCGAAGACTGTGCGCTGCACTCTGATGGGCTTCTTTTCTTGTGCTCAATTCCTTTAGGCATGCTCTCCTGTAGCAATCATATATCGCGTTGTGATTTCCAATGTCTCCAGTCTCTTCGATCTTCTCTCGGCCTCATCTCACGATCTTCGCCTTCTCTTCTAACCTCATCCAACACCATCACCAATCTCTGAGGTAGTGAGCATCTTCGTAGCTGGCTCTCACTCTTCAATTCTGTTGTCGCGATCCTTTTCTTCTTAACTCGTAAGTCTCTCTTCACGGTTTCGATTCTCTTCTTCATCAGCTTCGACTTGGCGCTTCATTACCTCTTCATACTTCTTCCAACATCACCATCAGTACTCGACATCTTCACAATTTGACCTTGCACTTCAATTCTGTTGTCGCAATCATTTACTTTTAGTCTTTCAGCTTCTTCCTTGATCCATTCATTTCTATTCGTTCTCTACTTCAATTCCACTCTGCATCCTCATCCCGCGACCTTCACCCTCGCGTCCGGATTCTTCAAACATCATCAGTCTCAACATCCCAACTTCAGACCTTGACCTTGCCCTTCAATTGTGTTGTCGCGACGATTCTCTTTGGACCTTTCAACTTCTTCCTCGACATTTCCTTTCTCTTCTTCACCTACTTCAAGTTACCCCTTCGTCCCCATCTCACAACCTTCGTCTTCTCTTCTGACTTCTCTTCTTCCAACATCAGTCCCAACATCCGATATTGGCTCCAGTCTTCAACTCAACTGTCGCGATCATTTACTTCTACCTTTCAGATTTTTCTTTGATCCAGTCACTTATTCTTCCTCATCGACTTCATCACAACCCTTCTTCCTCACCTCGACCTTGCATCAACCTTCTCAACTCAACATCTTCAACTCGACCACTAACAACCAACGTCTGCATCTACGTCTACACCAGCATCAACCTCGTCGCGCACCTTTATCTTCAAGATCTTTACCATTCCAGTAAGTTTATCCAATTCCTCTCTTTGTCAAGTTCATCTCAATTCATCACATCTCTTCAATCCACTCCCAAAAGTCCTCTAACATCCTCCTCTTCTCCACTAACATTTACCCAATTTCTCATTTCTTCCCTTCCTCTCCTCAAAACTTCCGTCTTATCCTCTAACCCGCCATAACATCTCCTAAACAATCGACTCCCTTTTGCAAGTCTCGTCTAAAGGCGCATCGCTCAGTGATTCACAGCCTCTTCAATCTCCTACTCATAAATTCCGTCTCTTCTCGTCATCCTTCATCCAACTTACACATCTCAGTCAATTACATCAAACATTCTACAAATATTCTACAATCTTAGACCAACAACTCAATCAAGATGGAGTCAAAGCTTGACAGAGCCGCCCGGGAGGCAGAGTACCAGGCCCTCTGGCAGGTCTGCGATCGCGCAACTCGCAAGCCCGAGTACATCTACGCCGACGAAAGACTCAAGCGCTCTGTTCTCGAAGCTGCATGTGACATTCTCATGCGCAAGAGGTAGCCGTCTCTCCTCTACTATTTAGCTAAGACTAACGATCTGTAGACAGAAACTCGGCAAGGTCGACTGCGGAACTGACATCGACGCCATGGTGACCCTTCATCTTCAGCGCGAAGTCACCGGTCGCCTTCTCGCAACTGCTCGTATGGCTGCTCCAGCCCCAGCTCACAACCCGATGCCGTTTGTGAACAATGGCCCTGCGTTCAGTGCGCCCCAGAACATGTATCCTGCGAACCCAGGCCCCTTCAATGGAAATGCAGTTCCGTACAACATCACCCAGGCACCACTCCCCGTCGTGCCCCAGCCCCGAGCTCGCCTCTCTCCGCCAGAGTTTGACTTCACCTGCGACAGTACCGAGGAGCTCCGAGATGACATGAACAAAGTCATCAACACCCTCCGGGAGTACGCCAGACGAATCGCCACTCTCGAACACAGACTCGACAGGGTCACTCGTGAGCGCGACATGTACAAAGCTGGAACAATCGACATGATGAACGCCGACATGAGAAAGTCGGCCTCCGTCCCTCCAGGCATGTTCCACTACCCCGTCGAAGGGATCGAGGGCTTGTCCGCCGTCGCCTATCCGCACCAGAGACCTCTCACGCCTAGAAGTCAGTCGCAGGGAATGGATGAGGATGGTGATGGAACGTATCACCCTGGAAGCTGAGGGTTGCGATGGAGGACATGGAGTCGGTTTTGCGCTGGGAGAAAGAAATGAGGAGTTTTCATGAAGCTGGTTAATGCCATGGTTGCTGGGAATAAGGACTTGGGCGATTGCGTGGGATGAGTGCTTGGGACGGGCGCATCGAAGCACGTTATATACACCTTGCTTGGCCATTTAGCTTGTAACGACTGACGACGAAACGAATATGCAGCGCCTACGGGCAAGATACCCATTAGTTAGGTACATCAATGATCAATAATGATCAATTCATTGCAACAAACATCAACACTTCACATGACACGTTAATCGCGCATCAGTCTTTGAGCCAATACTTGTATTGTTTGTCCTGCGTTCCTCCATAAACTATATACTCTCGCAATGCAATGCGAATCGTTACAATAAATAAGCCAGCCTTCCATTTCCATCGTCTACAAAACAATCGTGCCAGGCGTATCCGAAACACATAAAAAACACATGAAGGGCATAACATTTTACCTGTTTTCCCTGATACTCCGTAACTCCGGTCCGTGATAAGACATTAATGCTGAGTGTTGAGGTGATGATGGTTATATATCCAATGCATGTCCTCGCATCTGCAGAGCTGACGTCAACTCAGACATCAATCGCTGCTGAGCAATGCCGTGAATGCATCGAGTCGTTTATGAGGAAAACATGCTATAGTCCTGGATCGTCTTGCCGTCGCAGTCGGGAATCTTGACTCCCTTCTTGAGCTCGCGGTCGGATGTCAAAAGACCCCATTTGTCTTCCCATGCCTTACCCTTGGTGTTGTACCTCTCCTTCCAAGGCTCATCAAATGCTTCAAACCAGAAATAGTTGGTACCGTTCTTGAGAGATTGGCAAACCCAATCTCCCATGAAGGTGTTGAGCTCGTCAACGCCAGCAACCGATCCCTCAGTACATGTCGTGGCTGAGCCACAGTTGGTGCCGCCTCCAGTAGGCCAGCCTGTCTCCGAGATGATGTTCTTCTTCGTGTCCGTCTTCCAGTAATCTCCATTGTTAGTCTTCCAGAAGTTAGAGGTCCATGCGGCAGCCTCGGATGCCGTCACCCCGGCAAAGAAGGGATGGATGTTGGCCATGATATAGTCACTGTCCGTCGCAAGCTCAGATGTCCAGTCGTCGCCCAAATCCGAGGTGGCAACGGGGAGCTTGAGGCCCTTCTTGTCGAGCTTCGTGCGGGTTTCGTCCAAGATGTTGGCCAATGTGGTGATGTTCATCTCCTTACGGTAGAGAATTTCGTTGGCAATGATGATACCCTCAAAAGGATCATCACCATACTCATCCAGGATGTCCCACATCTGTGACATCTGTCGATCGTTGGTTGTCTCGTTACTGTCGAGCCATACACCCATCCAGATCTTGGTATCCTTGAGTTCCAATCGATCGATAGCGTGAATCAACATCTGCGTCTGGTTGCAATCGGTTCCGTACAATCGAATCTTGTTGGTAAGCTGACCCAGAATGGCCACGTCGCGTGTGATGTTGTTCTGAGAAGGCGGGTTATGCATACAGTCGGGATACTGCGAGTTGAGAGGGGTGTAGTCCATTCCGGGAAAGACTCTGTGGAGGTCGGGATTGTTGAGAAGTTCCTTGATCTCTGCGCTGTTTTTGCCAAGATCGCCGTTCTTCTTGGTGTCGTCCTTAGCTGACTCTCCCGAAGTACTCGACGTGCTATCGTCGTGCTTGCCATTGTTCACCATACTACCAACGACACCACCAACGATGGCGCCGACAATGACGAGGAACACCACGACGATGATGAGCCACTTGCACCTCTTGCTCCTCCCAGTGTCCCTATCGTCTGAGCCATAACCGTAAGGCTTTTCCCGTGCATTCATCTCGTAGCTTCCGCCTGGACCTAATTAGCAAATGCGCACACTTGGCAGACGAATACTGACCTCGTCCACCCAAAAGGCCGCCAGCAGCCGCACCACCTCCAACTGCAGCAGCGGTTGCAGAAGCACCCCTCTTCGCACGGTCGGAATTGGAAAGGCTAAGCATTGAGTTCCTTTGGCTCTTTCCATACACAAGCCCGTCGTCTCCATCGTCGATGATCTCATTAGGATTCACTACACCAAGATTGTCGCTCCCGTGCCGCGAGTTCGTATATCCGGGGTACGGGTTATCTATGTAGGGATCGCTACCGTTGAAGTGAGACGCCGCAGCCGATGGTGGCCCGCGGGGAGAATCGTAACCGTAACCGTAACCGCCATTTCCGCCATAAGGGTTTTGCTGAGTCCGCGATGGAGGCGGAGGCAAGTTGGATTGTTCCATTGCGCCTATTCCGCTATAGCGAGGATTACGGTCAGCAACGTTCACAGCGATTCCTGTCATACCACCAGATGCCGACATTCCAAAATTGTCTGCGCCCGGTGTAGTATGGGAGTTTGGGTGATCATACCCCATATGTGCGCCGCCGCCACCTCCGTAGTTATTGTAGCCTTGGTTGCCGTAATAACCGTGGTCGTTTTGTTGAGGCGATGGTCGACGAGGGCTGTCGTATCCAGCAGATCCTGCGGATCCTGCGTACGGCGAAGGCGATACTGGGCGACCGTGAGAGGAATAATCGTCGTAGCCACCTTGCACACGGCTGTAGGAAGAATCGGGATGTGCGCTTGGATGGTTTGATCTCGGGGGGGCGTCGTAGTGGGCAGCCGAAGGTGAATAACTATGGGGAGGAGGGATGGGTCTTCGGGGAGAGGAATCGTAGCGATTATGAGAGTCGAGCGGTTCGCTCTCGTAGGGATCCCCGTGGTAGTTCGGCATTGTGGGTAATGGTTGGATATTAAATCTGGATCCAGGCGGAGGAGCAGGCACTGTTCAAGCAGTGTGACACTGATGAAAGATAGCGATAAGGTAGGTTGGCTGCAACAACTCGAGAGCAGGCAGTGCCAAGAGGATCGATGATGCCAGCAGCGGGCGCGCCGCCTCAAGGGGATCGCTTTAGAAGAAGGTGGATCAATCGGCGAGATATAATTTGCAGTTGAAACGAGAGAGTTGGAGAAGCGCAAGGAACTGAGCGAGCGAGTGGAAATAAAGAGACCGACCGACCCGAGCGAGTCTTTTCTTTCTGCCTTGTTATTGCGATAGAGGGAAAAAAAGATGGAGTGACGAGGACAAGAGTAGAAAGAGCTCAGCCAAGAGAGAGTCAAGCCAAATCAAAGTCAGTGAATCGCTGTTACAGCTGTAACGGCCCAGTTAGAAGGAGCGAATGAGGGGGCAGGTAGGCACACCGGATGCGGACCGATAACCTGGAATTTCCCATTTTAGCGGATGTTCCGCCCTGGACTCCCCGGCAACCGGCCCCTAGCTTTCCGGCCAAGGCGGGACCCGTGACGCAGATGTTCTGGAACCAGGGCCAAGAGTATTTTACCACGTCGATAATACGAGTAGATATTGTATTGCAAATTAACAGAAATGATTCTAATTGACATTGTATATTCGACTTGCAAACAATAACAATTGCAAATAATTACAAGAATCACCAGTTCATGCACAGCCTCCTCCAAAACGGGTGCAACGGCAGACACGAGGTTGGAAAATCCTCTAGCCACCCAACTAGTGGTGTGTGAGATCATCAACACGGGGTTGAACTTGTCTTGACTTGGTCAAGCTGACTCCAATGGATGGATGCGTGCGTTGCGCGTCCTCAGAACCTTGATCTATATTCGGAAACTGTCTCAGTCCAGGGCCAACTTCTTTGTTCTAGTTTAATCGCCGTTTATTCCCAAGCTCACCAACTTCGTATTATACAGGAATGACCACGTAAACCCCCAATCAATCAATTCTTAATTTACTAAACAATGGCCTCATCGTAAAACTCAAACAAGCGAACGAGGGTCAGTTCTGTACGAGCATGGCACAGTTGGGTCTCGATTAGATCCCCCTGTAAAATGCGACTTTAGCCTGTCAATTGACGATCAACATGGAACCTCGAGGGTTACAGAGAAGGGAGAGAGAGATGATAAGAATCACTGAGAATTCAGCTGTGACTATCCAGTGATCGATCAACCAAAACAAACAGAAACAGAAACAGAAATGTCTGAAAGTCATGAGGCTGGAGATGAATGCAGCCAAGATGACAGCCGCAATTGATTGATGCAAGACGGGTCTCGACATGTGGCGTCGCCATAATATTAATTTATCGTCCTCATAATCACCAGCGGCACAGCTACCACCAACACGCCATCATAATAACCAGCTTCCAACTGTTATTTTCACGAATCTAATCACAGAAAATTCTTCTCTCTTTGTTATCTTGTTTATGTACCACAATTCGCAGATTAAAGGATCCTTTGTGACCCGGTATTCTTCCCAGTTTTGCTGTCTCCCTGGTGCGACACTGTTTGTTTATCGGCGATCCTCTCTAGCCTGAGAGGCTTTTAATGCGACACTGTTGGTCGATCAAAAAGCTCTGTGCTTCAGCCGATAAGAATTCGCTAACTGCTCATCGACGATTTATGGCAAAAACCCCACAAGATTTGGCCAAGGCCAATTTCTGGTTCCCTGTCAGCAGAAAGACGCCTAACAATTAAATGGTCTCAGCGCCGGACCTGTCAGCAAATTGAACTGCAGCTGTTCGCTTTAAGGCTGAATTGGTGGTATGCTCGTGACTTAAACCGGTCGCTGGTGGCTGAATAGGGAATTAGCCACGGACCCTTGAGGCTTAAAAAAAGGAAATGACATTTCGAGGAATGTCAAGGTCGAGACCCCTATTTCTGAGACCGAAGTTCGAGAGAAAGCCATCTCCGGTTGGGGACGGAATCCATCCCTTGATTTAGATGTTGAGTCTTGATCGCGATTCAGCTGCTCGAGAGGCTGTCGTGGAACGTTACACGATCAATATGTACATCATCATCAAGGCGCAAGCCAGAGGTGCACAAATTGCAAAATGTCTTGCATTGACGTCAAAGTACTCAATATTGCATCCCTTGACAGCTGAGGGGCTTGCTTGAACTGGCTGACTGGCTTTGCTTTAGACGTTATGAGTACTTGTGGTGGCGCTGCTGAACGATGCAGGGTAAGTTACTTCAATTAGAACAACATCATGAAGTTCAGTGCAAGTGGGCGAAACAACACCAGCCTGGTGAAATAATATTTTTTGTGTCACTTAGTTGAGAGGTTTCAATTGGGTTCTCCGCTTAATGTGTGCTGCTGAGTACATTCGCGACTCTCTTCATTGTCATGCCCGATTAGAGGCCGAGCTTCGAAGGCAGTGAAGCCATACCATTACCGTGACCGTTGCGCCTTCTATTTTCGGAGGCACCACAAGTCTTCTCAAGGCATGTCGCAAACCTATTTGGGTCTGTCGTATAGGTATCTTCAGACATTGGTGAGGCAGCCATTGCGCATAGGATACTATATGCAAGGGCGTTCCCAGTACATCATCTCTATTTCTCAATGCTCGCATCAGTCAATGGACGCTTGCTAGCCTTGATAAGCGGCTTTAAGCCTACTACACGAAGAGAACAGTACATTGAATTGCCTTTGCCTTGAATGGAATTAGTTGCTGATTCTTCTACAGCGCTCTCGTACACGCCGCTTGGTCATCCTCGTCTCCAAGACGTCGCCTAATGACAGCTTGTGGACTCTATACTTAGAGCATAAGACCTTACAACAGATGTCGTGACTTCTCATGGAAAGAAGCAGCCGGATTAAAGCATGGTAGGGCCTGGATGACATGTAGTTGGACGAATCGCATCCTCCCAGCGTCTCTCCGAGGCCTGAGTACCGGAACATGCACAACACTCTTGCAGTATACTTAAGAACATGGAGGGTATATGTGCATCGTGATCTAATATGATGAGAAACACTTCAAACCTATATCCCAATATCATCACAGATGTTCTAGATTAATTGATGTCGTTGCAAGAAGCTTGTTCTAATTGGCTAGCGGTCAGCAACACCAATTTAAGTATCATGAACGTACAAACCCCCAATCACAATAGCCTCTTCCGATCTACAACAAGATCTAGATCATGCGCCGACCCAAAGGACAAGGAAACACAATACGCGACCCTTCCTAACGATCTATTCGCCCAAGATCTTGAAGAAACCCGCTCATGTGACCGGCTCTCCCATCAACACCACCTAGACTAGCTAGCCTTCAAGCAAATCCTCCCATCTTCATCCTCAAACCCGGCATCACACAGTACAACAAATAAGCATACACGGAAAACTCGCCCGTTTCCCTACAAGCCAAGGACATATGACGTTGTATACAAGGGCCCTCCTCCACAACACCAACCAACGAGCTCTCACGCGGAGCAAACCTCCGACGTCCGCTCCACATATCTCACCCACCGAATATCTTTATCGATCGATTTCGCCTTGAACAGAGTAGATATACAGTGGTTTCTTTGACAGACACGATGTAGATTGTATTGATGATGTTTGGATCTCGTGCAATGTGCAATGTGATGTCATGGCGACGATGAAGATGTTGACATCATACTTGTGTAGATGTAGTATCACGATGCTTTATATGTTGTAGCCTTACAGCGTGTAAGACAAGACTTTTATCCTCTTCATTCTCATAATTCTTCTTTGATCATACACAAAGTCCCAAAAAACTCAATTGAACACTTACCTTCAAAACACTCCACAAACAACACAACCATCATGTCTATGAACCCCGAGTCTGCTACTCCCCAACAGGGTGAGTTCCGAAGCAAGGTCGCTCCCGCTGAGCCCCTCACAACCAAGGGCGTAAGTCAATCGTCATAGCCATACTCTCTCCATGATACATCATACTCACACCTACCAGCACAAGCCCGGAGTTCTCGTTGGCAACGACGCCGTCCCCGAGTTCCACGCCGAGCAACACCCCGCCGGCACAGCACCCCCCGAGAACACCTTCCAGCCCAACCCCGAGACCGAAGTCCCCGCGCAAGCCTCCGGTGCCTCAGGCGGCGTGTCTGCCTCCGCGACTCTCGGAGGCGCTACATCAGCTGATGTGCACACCGGTCTAGGCAAGCCTGCCGCTGGACAGACGAGCCAGGAGCTCCACGGCAAAGAGAAGAAGGATCGCTCTGGTCTTACGGGTGTTGGTGCGAATCCCTCTGATCCTATTCATGATATGGGTGCGGACCGGGATCATCCTACGAACTATCGTGGAAAGGGTGGTGAGAATGCGGTGGATTATCCTGGTGCGGAGGATAGAGAGCCTGTTAAGGCTGAGCAGGTTGCGAGTGAGCGCGCTTAAATGGATGTCTGCTGTGCGGACAGGATGGAGCAATGTGTATTATTAGCCATGATGGCTTAATGAGTTAATGCCAAAGATATGAACCAACGGATCGTGCCAACTGTTCCATGTGCGGTGAGATGTGAGGCTAATGGCCGGGGTGGTATAACACCGGTTGACGTTCACCCCGCTCGACGCCGAGCGACAATGTGAGGTCTGAAGGATTGGCAGGATGGTAATAATGCCCGGCGTTCGTATAGCGGCATCCATATGCCGGTACTCCGTAGATCTGCAGGACTTGCTCACCTTTAGCTCCGGCTGTAATCGGGCATGTCAGCAACACGGGTCCAACATCAATAACCATCAATGAACACTGGGCTGTAGTGTCGCACACGGCGAAAGGTGATACAAAAACGACCTGACCGAAGACTCGATGAGCAACCATCAAGGTAAAGCAGTGCACATTTGGGCATCAATGTGCGCCATTTGCTTCAAGATAGTGGCAATGCTTCACTACAATGCAATGCAACCCATCAAGGCATAATCATCCAGCCTCGACCCCCTCAGCCCTATGCAACACAACAGTTTGCATCCTCAAGAATGCCTCGTGATGCGTCTTTTTTATTATAGGACCAAGTGTTGAAACCTGGATGTCGCCATGATCGTCGTAATCCTTCGATTTGGGATGAACTCAATCCTTCGGCAGTGCGACCTTGAACTTTGACATCCCTGCTGAAGCGCCTCCAACCGTCCAACGGTCCCTGGATCTCCCCACCCGTGAGGGGAAGTTGAGCAGGAGTCGATTGGTAGGCTGCCTACATATTCATGGGTTATGGATGATGGGACGACGTGCGGCCGCTGTGAACTGTGATGGATGCTTGAAAGGTGGAGGGAAAAGTCAGTGGAAGGACTATCTCTAATGGTTGTTGAATGTCTGATCACTGACGATTGAGCGTGGGGGCTTCATGTCTACCTAGGTAAGCATCATCTTGAGACGTCTGGAAAGACTCTGGCTATACTCAAAATGACAGTTTCAGCACCCAATATAGCAATCTCTGGCTCTCCCAACACTTGTTTGGGCATTATTTCTCCTCATTTGTCTTCGGAAGCAACGGCAGTTATTCTTCAAGTTTGGGCCGAGACCCCATTTCCATGCTCTAGCGGATCTCATAGGTATCCACTACCACGCGCCATCTAATGCTAATAAATCTTGTTCTTGTTCTTGTTCTTGTTCTTGTTCTTAATTCATGACGCACTCGTTATTAGAAGGATTCATTTAATTAAAACATAAACTATTATAGCAAGGCTGATTACTCTTCACATGTATCGAATGAACATGCCGTAAGGTAATTTATAATAATCTCAAGTCAGCTTCTGAATGCCGAGATATGAGAGATATCAACATCAGAATGCATATCATAAGTTTTTATCTTTAACCACAATAACCGCCGTATTCACACCAATCATCGCAGAATCATCCAATCAAGGAACTCTATCCCCGCCAGTGATCAGACCCGGGCCCCCCTCCACAACCCGGCAGCTAAACCAAACCCATCCTGATCCATATACCATCTCGCCTCGTCCGCCCAGCGATCAACGGAACCGCCGTTACAGCTAATTGAGCTTCTAGATCCCGTTAGACACGTCAAAAATTGGTAGGTTTGGCTATCAGTTTTTAAAAAGACTCAGCTCAATTATCAAGATTATATCTCCTCAAAAAGTCAATTCGACCTCTGGTGGAGGTGACTAACAAAGATAAACCTTGCTTCATCTTGCTTGGCTCTCTCCACATTCGCCCTCTCCCTTTCCCCCCTGCTTCTTCTTTTAATTAATGAACTCGTTGCTTCTCTTCTTCACGCGTGGGAATATTATGTCTTGTTGGAGTCTGCCGTTGCTATCATCCCACTCAATTTCGGGGTCTCACCTCATGATAAACGCCGCTGACGTTGAAAGATTCCACTGATAGGTTCTGCACTTTGGCTTAGCCAGGTACGGCACAGCACAGTCGGTACATCAAAGCCCGTCCCCTGTAAGCTCCAAAACCGAGTACCGAGCTGGTCCCCCCCGTTCTACTTTACCAGAACGGCTTCTCGTCTCTGCGCGAGCGGGCTTCTCCTCACACAAACGATCTTCCTTTTCGAGCCTTGAACCAACAGACAAGCCGTGTCTATTCTGTCTTGGGGGTTTTTCTGTTTTGTTTTGTTGGTGGAACCCCTGGTACCTGTAAATCATGGAGATCCAGTTCTCGATCCCTATCACTGGAGGGCGATCCAACAGCTCGGCGCCGTAAGCCAGAAACCCTTGTCGCACACAATATGGATCCGAGCTGAGCTGACTTTCCGTCCTGACTCTTAGTTCATCTTCAAGTACAGACACTGAGAGATCTGCAAATGCGACGGCTTCGAGGGCTGGTACGCATCGATTTGCACTTGAGACAAGGGCACGACATACGAGACGAAGCTCAAGTAGAGCTCGCACGGGCTGTGCTACATGTGAGTTCCGTGCATGTCTTCCGTGAGTCTGTTACTAATGGCTTCTTAGGCAAGTAAGTGTCATGTCATGCAGTTGGGTCGCATGAACTCAATTCCTTGGGGTGCAGATGGCGTAAGGAAAGGCACTAACATCGTGAAGAAAGCGACATGTCAAATGCGACGAGACTAAACCAGCCTGTCTCAATTGTTTAAAATGGCGAGGCTCATGCGACGGCTATGGCGACGCGGCAGCTACTCCCGCTGAAAGCGCCACCGAACCTCGCCCGCGCTCAACAGCCTCGAGATCAAAAGCAACGGCGAACTCTGTGACTAAATCCCGTGCAACGTCCAAGATTAAGGTTACTACGGGTTCAATGGCTGTTGTGAAAGCAAGACCACCGACGATCCCCGAGGAACCTGCAATCAACACCATCTGCTTCACAAGTAGTGAACAGCGATCTTACTTTGACGAATGGTCGGCTCTTAGTGTCGGGTTCCTTAGTGGAGGACTCGGAGACTCAAGATTGTGGACGACTACAATGCCTCAACTTACATTACAGGAACCGTCGTTGAGATATGCCGCTATGGCAGTAGGCGCACTGCGCAAAGCTTCAAATGTCGAGTTTGAAGCATCTTCACCTGGGAATGAACTGGCGGGCGATAACAAGCACTACCTCAACGCAATTGTCTACTACTGCGAGGCCTTGCAATTACAAGCCAAAGCCAGGCCGACGAAGGAAGGGCTACGGACAGCAATGTTGGCGTCTCTACTGTTCATCTGCTTCGAAGCGCAAAGAGGAAATATGCCAGCGGCCCTCAAGCACATCACTCACGGCTTTAGCATGCTGAACGAGCTTGCGGCTTGTACCGACAAAGCCCCCAGTCTTGTCAGAATCGCCCCAGCGCCTCCTGCTCTGGTCCAGGAGATCCTGGATTGCTATAAACCCCTGGAACTCCAGTCGCGATCATTCATGGGGTCGTATAAGAAGTTCTTCTTCCCTCCGAAGCCGCCCGCAGTCGCCGCAAACCAGGCTTCTCCCTCACAAACGGCCAGTCCTCGCTCTGTAACAAGTCCACCAAGTCAACCAGGTACGCCATGGGCGAACGCACCTTCAGGTCAACAGAACCCAGTTGGTCTTCCCAGTCCTCAGAGCCAAGCGAGTCCGCAAGCCATGTCGGACCAGCAGACACCTCCGCGAGCGCCTCCGCAGAGGCCCCCGGGGATCGCGCCGTTTACCAAGCACTCACCATACTTCAGGCCGAAACAGACGAACATCAGGGTGATTGAGGATATGCCGGCTGTTTTCAGCTCGTTGGACGAAGCCCATGGATACTGGACGTTACTGCAGAGGCAGCTTGTGCAGTACATCCCCCTTCTGACAGCGACGACGGCGCAGCTTGCTTTGACAAAAGTGAAAGACATGAAGAAACTGGAAATGAAGCTAGACAGCGTGAGACAAAACCCGCGGATCTCAAAGTTTCTGGAGGAATCCAGGCATTGGCTTCAACGATGGTCGACGTCCTTCAGTCCACTGCTTCAAACCGCGCAGGATAACCGCCAGAACGATGAACAGTCGTATCTGCAAGCGATCAACTTTCACATCGAGTTTCTCATCCTTTACATTTACACCGCAATGCCACGATACTCTGGCGTCGAAACAGCAAAGGACCTCACGCCACAATACCGGGAGCTGAACGCCATTGCCGAGACCTTAATCGCGTCCCGTCCCAACTGCGGTTTCGCAATGGACTCAGGCTGGACGTGGCCGCTCTTCGTCTCAGCATTCGGCTGCCGCGATCCAGAAGTCAAACACGACGCCATTCGCATTCTAGGAAAATACCCCATCCGCAACGCCCTCCGCGACAGTCGCGTCTTCCGCGCCATCGCTTTAAAGAACCTTGAAGTCGAAGCCATGAACGCAATGGAGGGCGATGAAGACCAACAGTGGCTACGACTGAGGAGGAGAGAGCTCGTCTTTGAGGATCTGGGGATGAACATTATCTTTCGGTATGCGGAGAAGAATCAGGCCACGGGGGAGTGGGAGCTCATCGAGGAAGTGGCGGTGTTTATGGTTGGGGAGGACGGGCAGTTGAATTGGCATAGGCAGCCTATCTCGGAGTCGGTGTCGATTCTTTCTGGTGTTTGTTAAGGGAGTTTTGATGGGTTAGAGGAGGATTTTGGGTTAGATAGCAAGCGTAGGAGTTTTGGCGTGCGTGCTTTTAGGCTACGACGATGGCCAACTATGAATCTTATGACTTGTTTTAGGAAGTTCTAGTAATTTGACGTTATCGAGACGTGTTGAAGATGGCGTCCGCTGTGAAGCTCAGGAGATGAGTGACGATACCGGTAGGATATGCTCATTCGTCGTTCTATGGTGATTTGAACCGGCAAAACACTCTGGCTGAGTCAAGGCTCATATCGCAACACTGGTAAATGTAGATTGCGCTTTTTATTGCTTTGTTTGGCCCCTATTTGCTGTTTTATACTGCCATCAGTTTGATGGTGTTGAGTCATTGTTTGTCGACTCAGCCTTTTTTCACGTGAAATCA